GTGAAAAATTACCTATATTTTTGAATAATTCTAGAATAAGCAGGAAGTTATATAAAATGTATAATTTTATTACAATTTTTACATTCAATTATTTATATAATTTAACCAATGGAAGAGTAGTAGAAACAGATTAATAGCATTCATTTGTTTACTACAATTATTATATAAATATACTTAACTTAGTAAAGTTTCTCCATCTTCAGATGTGAACATTATGTACATCTTTTTACTTAATTCAGGGCCAACTTTACGAGTTGTTATAAGAGGCCCAGCTGCTCTTCTAATCTGTAAAACATGATTTAATAATTGAGTGCAATTATTGTACATAAATTATTGTTTAAAAACAATAGTTGATATTTATGATTTACCGGAATATCTTTTAATAAGTTGAGTCCTTCATTTTGTGAGCAACGCTTATAGGCCTGGAAAAACCAAATAATACAAAGTAATATACATTAAATCATGTTTAATCTGTAATACATACTTCTATCAAATCAGCAGGGCATCTATATACAGAACATATTGCTTCTGCAGTTTCAAGACTACTTAAATTGAATTGACAAAGCTGTTGTTGCCATAATCTTTTCAATCCATTTCCATCTTTATCCACACGTACTGTGTTTCTATTATCCCCCATTACATACCAGTCAAATTTATTTGTTACAGTTTTATTTTTTTCCATCTTATATGGGATCTCTGCTATGGCTTTGGTACATTGATATATCATTAATGCTAAGTCTTTAGAACTATTTACTAATCTACTGCTACATTTAGTAGTAATTTGTACTTCATTAAGGCACAATTCAAGCTGTTGTCTTGAAATTTCTGGGTAATTCTTAAACTCACAATTACTTTTATTTGTTTTCTTTGTTTTATTCTTTCCTCCATTTCTATCTGAATTCTTTGATTGCTTTTTATATGTAAAATAATCTTCTATACCAAAAATAACTAAAATTATATTATAATCTGATAGTGAGGCTTTGATACTGGATATAGTTGTACAAAAACTACCATCTGCTACTTTGTCAACTGTTTCATTCCATGTCCAAATAATTAACATTTGATGAACTTGCTCAACGTCTGTTACTGTACATATTTCATTAGCTTCGTTAATGTAACTATTTTCAACATTTCTTTTCCATGAAATACTATTTGGGATTAGTTCATTGCTAATACTATATTGTGCATCAGCCTCAAGTATCGCAGTTAAAATCTCATTTTTACAGTGAAAATCTTCAATGCCTTTATCAAAAACCACTCGTATGAATTTCATACATTCACCGGGTTTAATATTTTTTGATTTTTTGTATGCAATGGCTTTCAGTGCCTTGCTTCTCTTCAATTGTTCCTGTCTTCTCAATCTCTCTTCTGTCAACTGACTTTTAGTTTTCTTATTTACTGTTTTAGCACCTTTTCTCCCTTTCTTTCCTTTATCCTCCTCGTATTGAAATTCTTTTACAGAATCAGAAGAATCCGACATGCTGCCTGAAGTTGTTTTATGTCTCTTTGATTTTGTGCCAGTGCTAGTTGCAGATGACGATGAACATACATTCTGTGATTTACAAGGAGTAACATTATATGCATTGTTTTTATTAACATGATCTTGCGACTCAGACAATTTGTTTGCAGTACTAGTATGATAAAAGTGTACTTCAGGGAATTCGAACTCGTCCAAGTCAGAATCAAAACATTGAACATCATTTTGAAATGATAATTTCCTTTTCTTCTCCTTGTCAACATTCGTAAGGCCAACATTTTTAGCGGATAGAACAGATTCATCGGAATCACTCAGCACAACAACGTCTGTCATTTTGTTGAAATATATTCATAATAAATCTGATTCAGTTCTATATAAACGAGGCATTCTTATTCGTAAACGTTTATATTTCAAATTGTAGCAGAAGAATTTGAATTTGAGAAAGCAGTTATGTACAAGTACGTTATAGACGCACAAACGCTTATACCGAATATATACTCACTAAATACGATAAGATTATTGTAAATATTATGTATTTCAGCTACTCGTAAGTCTACAAAATAAATACGTACAAGATGTAATAATAAAAGTTCGAAAATAATTTCTTTAAAAGTTTCATTTTGAAAATTAGGTGTGAAGGTGTATCCTTGTTTTCGCCTACACGTGCATGAATATTTTTATTACGCCACAACAATGAAAAATATGTTAAAAAACATTCTGCTTATTTACAGCTGAACGTTCCCTGTAATATTTCATTTTCATCAGCATCGTAATTGAATCGGTATCGTTATTAATATATAGGTCGAAGAAATGTTATTAAATCATAAGTTGTGGAAATTCAAAAAAGTCGATTATTGACGGAACGGCCACGTACGCATGGCGCTGCGGTCTGCGTCACGGAGTCTCGCATTGGAGATGGGAATGCCGTTCTCCACAGCGCTTCTAGAGAGGCAAACGTGGGGTTGACAACTATTGTTTTCAACGTTGCACCGTGCTCGTATCCAGCAAGCATCGCTCTAACATTCGTACTCCGAGTTTCGGGCGTAGACCGGTTTCGTTTGGCTATCGCTAACTTTTTAACTGTGGCGGAAATAATGACGTCATGAATGAAGTGTCGATGACAAACGGATGATACATCGAAATGATACGGGATTGTGTACACACTAAAGTGTTCGCCTTTCGATGTGACTGATCTTGTAAAAACGCATTCTAGAAATAGCCGTGTCTGGATTTTATTCGCAAATCTATAGGTTCGAAGCTTTAATCTTATGAAGGTAAGGAACCGTTGTTTCGCACCGATGTTTCCCCGTTCGCAAGTGTCAAAACTCCTGGTGCTCGCCAAGCGTTTCGGCGTTTCGTATCCCTCGAACGTGCATATCTAGAGCGTTATCGGAATCACACCTTTTAACCGTGTTTTACGAGTAGATAAATACCATTAATTCCGCGCAGAATAAATTGTAATATTATCTGTATTACATTGTGAAGGCACAGGTAATTTTGGTAGTCGTTAAACGAAGCTTTGTATACAATACACGCATAGATGATTCGTTCGATTTTTCAGAATTGACTTGTATAAAACAGTAAAGATGTCAGATCATTTTGGTCCAATCACTTTAAAATGGGATCCGAAGAACTTGGAAATTCGTACCATGTCGGTAGAGAAGACATTAGAGCCTTTAGTTTTACAAGTAACTACGCTTGTGAATACAAAGGGTCCTAGCAAGAAGAAAAAAGGAAAGTCAAAGAGGGCTAGTGCGTTGGTAGGGACCGTAGAAAAAGCGACTAGTAATTTTATCGAGAAAGGTGAACAAATCGCTTATGAAAATCCTGACATTACTGCCGAAATGTTAAGCGCCGTTGAAGAAGTGAAGAAGACAGGTGCAGCAATGAGTATTGCTGCTAGGTA